TATATATATATATATATATATATATATATATATAAGTGCACTCTGGTGCGAATGAAGCGCCCAGGTGCGAAATAGAAATGTCTGATATTCGTCCATGTGTCTAGATCTAATGGATGAGAAACACTGATTTTTTTAAAAAATGCGGTGGCATTTCGTAAATAATTGAACATCGAAGTGCAAGTAAAATGTATTACAAGTGCATGTAAAATGTATTATAGGTGCAAGTAAAAATGTATATTGAGCATCAATACTAGGTGCACCTATAGTTATAAGTAGTTGCACCAATAGTTATAAATAGTTGCACCTAGGTGCATGAATGTTTGCGGGCGGTTTTCAAGGGTATTACTACCCGCTGAACTAAGATCAATGAATGTTAACAAGGCAAAATTACATGTACTTACAGGCGAAAGTAGGTGCACTTGTAGGTAAAAGTAGGTGCACCCAATCAATGAATGCAGGCAAAAACTACATGCACTTGCAGACGAAAGTAGGTGCACTTGTAGGTGAAAGTAGGTGAAAGTAGGTGCACCTGATCAATGAATGCTGACACGTGGCGCGCGCTGATTGATTCGCATTTCTCTACTCGGCACTTATTCGCACCTGAACGCGACCCAATATATATATATATATATATATATATATATATATATATATATATATATATATATATATATATATATATATATATATATATATATATATATATATATATATATATATATATATATATATATGAGTAAATACCCGAAATGATCCCTCGACTATAGCTAAATTCACAAATTGGTCCTCGACTTTCAATTTCAACCAATTAAGTCCTTAACTTTGTAATTTTGACACGATTTGGTCCTCCATCTATTTGACCGTTTGTTGATCGTGATCGACGATCTCCAGAAGAACCTTCAGCTCTCGTCGGAGCACGTGGAGGCCTCTAGGATGACGTTGCACTGGTTCGGAAACACGTCGTCTTCTTCACTCTGGTACGAACTCAACTACATTGAATCCAAAGGGAGGATGAAGAAAGGCGACCGGATTTGGTAGATTGGTTTCTGCAGTGGATTCAAATGTAACAGTGTGGTCTGGAAATGCAACCAAAACCTTAAAAAAATCAACGATGGACCATGAAATTACATATATATCTTCAAAAATCACAGTCAACAAACGGTCAAATAGACAGATGATCAAATTGTGTTAAAATTACAAAGTTAAGGACTTAATTGGTTGAAATTGAAAGTTAAGGATCAATTTGTGAATTTAGCTATAGTCGATGGACCATTTTGCCATTTTGGGTATTTACTCTCTCTCTCTCTCTCTCTCCCCCTCTCTCTCTCTCTCTCTCTCTCTCTATATATATATATATATATATATATATATATATATATATATATATATATATATATATATATATATATATATATATATATATATATATATATATATATATAGGGTCGAGTTCAAATGAGGACAACAATATATAGAGGACTGTGAGGACAAATAATGGGCACACAACAAATTAATATCAGGCACACAATTTAATACATAATGACACACAAGAATACATGTAAACATCAGGTTTCGAATTAACAAATCTATGCACGCGACAAACTGTGGCACACAACTACAATCGGTCATGCACACGACATATAGGCTAATGGCACACACTACATTTGTCCTCACAGTCCTCTATAATATACTTGTCCTCATTTGAACTCAAGTCTATATATATATATATATATATATATATATATATATATATATATATATATATATATATATATATATATATATATGATGTGTTTAGTGCAATTAATAAGACTTCACTCAAATTATTTATATTTAAATTTTTTAAAAGTATTTAGTTTAGTATTAATATATCAAATTTAATTATTTAAAAACCACATTAAAACTTAAAAGTGTGTACTATTAATTAAATACATGCACACAAAAAATTGAATTTAAAAATTATGGGAAACCATTAAAGAAAATAAAAAAGAATAATTTGTTTGATTAATGAATTGTAACATGACATTTAAGAAAAATAAATGGGTTTTGGGCAAGAAAAATAAATGGGTTACATCATTAAGTGTATACAAGTTTTAAATTTTTGTAATTATACATTTTAATTGGACAGTTTTATGCAAGCAAAAACTTGTACACTTTAATATCTGACATATTTTCAACCAATTAATTTGTAATAAATTTTTGAATGATAAATTTTATATATATATATATATATATATATATATATATATATATATATATATATATATATTTTGATTCCTGTGAGAACAGGTCTTCCCGTGCGGTCAGTGCGGCATATATCATTAGGTATGCATAAATGCATCATACAGTGTTCGAGAATACACTAGAATGAAATGCCAAAAAATGCACCACAAAAAAAAAAAAAAACACCATACATAATGGTGTATTTTCGAACACTGTGTGGTGCATTTATGCATACCTAATGATTATGCTGCACTGACCGCACGGGAAGACCTGTTCTCACAGGAACCTGACCCTATATATATATATATATATATATATATATATATATATATATATATATATATATATATATATATATATATATATATATATATAACTGAGAACACATGCCATCCGTCCACGTGTCCAGATCTAAGGGATGGGAAACACTGATTTTTTTAAAAAAATAAACGCGGTGGTATTTTCGTAAATAATTTAACATCGGAGTGCAAGTAACCTTTCATATAGTGCACCTCAGTGCATGTAAAATGTATTACAAGTGCAGGTAAAATGTATTAGAGGTGTCCAGACCTAATGGTGTAAATTGCACCGACCGCACGGGAAACCATGTTCTCATTTGAACATATATATATATATATATATATATATATATATATATATATATATATATATATATATATATTGGTTCAAATGAGAACATGGTTTCCCGTGCGGTCGGTGCAGTTTACACCATTAGATATACATAAATACACTACACAGTGTTAAAAAATGCACCAATATAAAATGTCACAAAATACGCCACACACCAAAAAAATGCACCACATATAATGGTACGGTGTATATATATAAAAGGCCTTCCTTCAAAAAAAAAAATGTGAAGTAATTTCAACCTTTAAGCTGAGATGGTCAGCTGAACAATAGTTGAAAATAAGGTAACAAATACGATGAGATTTTGATAACTATTAAAAGCTTTAAATGTGTATTAGATCAATTTCACCGCACATCAGGGCTTATCAACCTTCTCTAATAAAGAACTGGGAAAATGGCACTTTTTCCCCCTGTGTTATATGCTTATAGCACTTTTTCCCCCTGAGTTATTCATGCATTCATATTTGTCCCCTCAATTATTATAAAAGTGGCGGTTTTTTCCCCTGATAATATTAAATGGACATTTCTACCCTTAAAACAAATATTTTATTTATTTCTCTTCTTCAACAAATTATTGCTTATACGTAGGGATGACCACGGTTCGGTTCGAACTGAACCAAACACTATAGCAATCAAATTAAAAAATTTCGGTTATGATTCATAACATAACCCAATATTTGGGTTTCCGTTTATTAAAATCGTGAACTGGAAAAAAATGGATCCTGAACCGTGAATCGGAGGTTCAAATCGGATTAACTACTAGCAATAGCTTAAATTAGAATCATAATATTTGCAAATAGTGTATGTTTTTTTTCGCATTTATATTGACTCTCACATATAAGTATATATAATCGCGGTTTGAGTTTTATTTTGAACCGTCGGTTCACAATTTTGGATCCAATTTGAACGGTTGGTTCAAACTTTCTTTTAAAATTTTATTTTTTATTTTTAAAATATTCTAAATTCAACACTTAATGTATTTTATTTTTTCAAATCGTGGTTATAATTTGTTGGAGAAGAAAAATAAATGAAATATTTATTTTAAGGATAAATATGTCCATTTAATATATCAGGGGAAAAAACTGCCACTTAAATAATTTAGGGGGAAAAAGTGCTATAAGTATATAACAAAGGGGGAAAAAGTGCCATTTTCCCTAAAGAACTAAAATTAATAATAATTAAAAATCATTGTATTCTTTTCCTCCACACCCCCCCCCCCCCATTTTACGGCCGTTGATGAGCCCTGATGTGGAAATCTGCAATGCTGATTTGAATTGGTTTTATATTTTGATCTACCTGCTTGACCTATTGCTGTAAAATTTGACTCATACTGTCATACTGCTGTAATAGTTTTTGTAGCTATTTTTGGGAAGCTTAATCATTCTTTTTGTAGCTATTTTTGGGAAGCTTAATCATTCTTTAATCGTTCTCCGTCTCATTTTATGTGTCAAATTTAGTTAATCAGACTTAAGTGAAGTTATTTTTAATTTTAAAAAAATTACATCTTTTCGTCCCTAAGTTATAAAATAATTGTAAGATTCGTCCATATTTGTTGAGTGTGCTCACTTCTTATTCCTAAGTTATAATTGACGTTGCAAATTTCGTCATTTTCTAACATGTTATGCTCACTTTTCGTCCCTAAGATATAAATGGCATTACAAATTTCTCCCTAATATTTTAATAGAAAAACGATGAAATTTACAACATCAATTAGAACTTAGGAACAAAAAGTAAACACAACCAACAAGTAGTGAAAATCCTACAATTAACTTATAACTTGGAGACAAAAAATAATATTCCCTTTATTTAATTTTTCATAATATTAATTTTAGTATTAGAATATTAGTATATAAAATTCAAATATTTAAAACTATATTAAAAGTACTATTAAACACAAAAAATAAATTTAAAACACTAAAAAATAATAAAAATACTATATATACTTTTATTCTCTATTCCCAACGTTTACTCACATACTTAAAATTTTGATGTAGACACATCTACAAAGGGCTCACATAAAGAAAATAGTCTATCAATGCTCATCACATTTTTTTTTTCTTTACATAAGAAGTGAATTTGAAGGAATACGATCCATTTAAGAGTACATCTAGTAATAACTCCTACAAAAATAAACAAAACAAGAATTGATTTGACCTGTTAATATAGTAATAAACAGGACAGGTACAATAAGACAGATAAAATATTTATTAATAAATTTCTATAATAGTGTTAAATTAAATAAGTCAAAGTATGTAATTTGTATTCTGATCCTTCCCAGAGGAAGAAGATGATCCTCCTCCAGATGGATTCAATGAAACCCTACCCAGAAAAGCTTGAAGATGATGATCGCCATGGCTAGAGCTCGCCAAACTGTACGCCTCTCGACTTTGCACTTGCTCAAACTGATGCATATTATTATTATTAAGGCTTTGTAGGTGTTGCTGCGGCCCCAACGCCATGCCCAACCCAATTCCAGCAGAGATTGAAAAGGGGGACGGCGGCGGCGGCAGCATAGTGAGGCCGCCGCCGGTGAACTGTTGGACCATAGCCCTGAAGTTGGAGGCGTCGGTGTTGAACACGGTGGTGCAGGGAGTTCTCCGGGACGCCCTGGACCTCCGCCGGACCGGTTTCGCCACCCGGCCATCGGGGCTTAAGCCGTGAGATGAGGACGGCTCGGCGGCGGCGGCGGCGACCGCCGTGGAGAAGGAGAGTCGGTCAGTGGCGGCGCTGAAAATGGGGTGTTGGGGTTGTGCGTTTTGTTGATAGAATGGTGCCCAGTCTGGGGTTAATGGCGTGCTTTCATTACTTTCACTCATGAGAGAGAGAGAGAGAGAGAGAGAGACTTCAGTAAGAAGGAAAGAATGAATTCATAAGATGAGCATATGCATTTATTATTATTATAGAATTATTATAGTCAAACCAATGGGCCAAACATGATTCACATTATCAAATAAAAATTTATTTTTTAAATCCAGGAAAACTAAAATAACAAAGAAAAAAAAAACACACAATTACTCCGCAGTCCGCACGCATGAAATGAGATCATGCCACTTGTTGGGCAAACTCTGCTAAATTGATCCCATAATTTATTTGGTAATTATAAATTTTCAAGTTTAATTTTTTAATTCGCAGGAAATTGTGTTTGTTTATTTTCAATTGTTATGTCGTAGAATTGTGTTCACCTTGCAAAGTGCAAAGACATTGTTCTATTATCATAATTACTAGACTCTATGTTCATAATTATAAAACTCTATATTCATAATTTTGAACTTTATATTCATAATTATTGAACTCTATATCCACAATTACAAAACTCTATGTTAATAATTACTAAACTTTATGTTCATAATTATAAAACTCTATGTTCACAATTTTTGAATTTCATATTGGTAGGGAATATCCCGACCGACATAGCTTCACCACGACCGAGGAGCCTTTGTCTCTTTCTCCTTGTCTTTGCAGGTAACAGGTCGGGCTCCACAAGAAGAACCCGGTCGTGGACCGACCGGAGTTGCCCGAGCGACGTTGTCGACCACCGAGCGGTAGCCCTTCGGCGAAAGAGCTGACGAAGGACACGTGGCGGCTCTTTACATCGACAGGCAGGGCACCCGGGAGGATGACACGTGGTGGTTACGTGGAGGACATGCCGAACGGCTGGAATCCTGTCCCCGGCCTAGCGGCTATAAATACCCACAGTAGCTACAATGTAGGGGACTTTTGGACGATCGATAGGTTGTTGTTAGAGAATCCCGACCGCAGTCAGTCGGTACTCAGAGCAGCCAAGTAGATTGTACTTAGGGCCTTTATTGGGATCAATAAAGATTTCACTTGCTTTAATTGGTCTCGTGTTATTTTATATTGCTTACGTAGAATTAGCAGTATCATTTTGGCGCCGTCTGTGGGGACCCGTGCAAGAAACCAACGTCTTGACGAGCACCCGATCACCATATCGATATGTATCCGTGGGCACACAACAACTTCGCCGACGACCAGGCGGATGCGGCGAGCTCCTCCGACCACTATGCTACCCAACAGCAGGGTCAAACAATGGACCTCAACCTCAATCTCTCACCACCACATCCGTCGAATACATACCCGGCCGCCCAGCAGCCGGTGAATTACATACAACCGGGATACCCACCACCCGGTCTGCCATACCAGCAGCCGCCGATGATGTATCCCGCCCAGTATCCATACCCGGTCCCACCTCCACCGTATGGGTACTGGCCAGGCCAACCGATGTGCTACACTTCCCCGGTTGGTTATCCACCATACACGCCAGCTTATACAGCTCCAGCCGCCGCCCCTCCAGTACAGCCGACCGCACAGGTAGAGCCGCAGCGTCAGTCCACTTCCCGGGCTCGACGCTCGGCTCATTCGCGGTTGGGGTCGGGGGGTGCTGATGCGATGGAGGCACCAGCTCAGGCCGTTCAAGCGGAGGACCCTGAAGAGGTTGCCCGAGCGGTAGCTTTCGATCGTCTCCGACCAGAGATGCGCCAGCGTCTGGGGCCCCAAGACCCGAATCGCGGGCAAGAGGACGTACAAATGCAGGAAGCTAGCCATGAGGCTTCATCCGGGTATAGCGGGTCGAGATCTCACCGACGGCGACGCGCTCGGGATACAGCCCAAGCCGCTCAAGCCGCCGAGCTCAACGAAACCCGAGGTTTGCTCTACAACCTCCAGGCTGAAGTTGCGCAGCTCAGGAGTGCGTATCCCACAGCACCCCCGGCCGACCGATCGACCCTACACCAGACGCCTTTCACAGCAGCGGTAATGGCTCAGCCTTACCCGCTCGACTTAAAGGTCTCGGGAGAGAAGAGTTACGACGGTCGGACAGATCCTGAGGCTCACGTGAACGATTTTTTCAGCAATATGATGCTGAAGGGCGTTTCGGACGCCGTAATGTGCAGGGCCTTCTACTCAACCCTCACCGGTCGGGCGGCAGAATGGTTCCGAACCCTGCAGCCGGGGTCAATCGACAAATTTGAGACCCTGGCGATCAAGTTTGTACGGAAGTTCATTACTTCCAAAGTGGTGAGGAAGTCCTATATGTACCTCGAAAAGGCCAAGCAGCTCGAAGGGGAAAGCTTGACCGACTTCCTCATCAAGTGGAAGGCGGCGGTCGGGGAGGTCGAGCCCATGGATGATGCGACCGCCACCCACATGCTTCACATCTCCCTCCGGGCGGGATACTTGTACCAGGATTTTATCCTCCACCCCCCGACCACATATGAGGAGGCCCTCCGAAGGGTCACTGATTACGCCAACGCAGGTGAGGCGAATGCCGTCAAGCGCTTGCAGGAGGTCAGCTCTTCGTCTCGTAAACCGGCCATCCGGGCGGAACATCGATCGGGAGATGACAATCCCCGACCTCGCACCAGGCATGGCGAGTTTACGGCCTTGAACCGATCCGCAGCGGAGGCCATGCAGTACGCCCAGTCCTGCAATCTCATCAAACTTCCCCATCCCGATCGAGACGGCCCTGACAAGAGTAAGCACTGTGCTTACCATCGATGCGCCGGGCATGACACCGAGGAGTGTACCCACTTGCGCCAATTATTGGAAGATTTGCTCAATTTGGGAAAATTGGACAAGTGTGTGGGAAAGAGGGAAGACAGCAAGAGAAATACCGATCGGAGGGATCACAGACGATCTCATCACCGCTCTGATCGGTCGGGCCAGGACCGAAGAGACGATCGGAGGGACGATCGTCATGACGACCGACGGGACCTTGACCCTCCGTCCGGTAGCCGCCCATCTGGAAAACCAACCATCCATGTCATTTTTGGTGGGCTGGAAGATGCTTCCCGACCGCGGACAAATTGCCCGGTCGTAGTAGTGGATTCCCGGGAGACCGGGAAGAGGCAGAAGATGGAGCCCATAACCTTCACCCTCGAGGACCAACCCACCAGCAGTGATCACGGCATGGAGGCGCTCGTGGTCACGATTGACGTCAAGGGGACGGATGTCCAAAGGGTCATGGTTGACACGGGCAGTAGCGTGAACGTCCTATACTTGGACGTGTTTGAGAAGCTTGGCCTTGACAGGAAGGAGCTGACTCCGGTCGGTGTACCACTGTCAGGATTTACTGGGGCTCTTATCTACCCTGAGGGAAAAATAACGCTCCCGGTTGAGATCGGCACGCCTCCAAAGTCGATCCAAACGGAGCTGGAATTTGTTGTGGTCAACCTCCATTGCGTCCACAACATTATCTTGAGCCGACCCGCCATCATGAAGATCGGTGGGATAATTTCTATGCCTCACTTATGCATGAAATTCCCCACCCCCAACGGGGTCGGCGTGGTCCGTGGCGATGTCCAATCCGCCCGGAAGTGTTACACCCGAGCGGTCAATAGACGAGATTCCGGTCCATCTTCCCGGGTGAACACCATAGCCAAGGAGGAGGCTAAGGAACGGAAGGAGCAGCCTGAGCCTTCCGAAGAGATAGAGGAAATTCCCCTGTCCGAGGACCGCCCGGACAGAAAGATAAAGATTGGACGAGCCCTCACTCCCGAGCTCCGAGCGGAAGTTCTGGCCGTGCTCCGGGAGTATGCCGACATTTTTGCATGGGGGCCTGAAGACATGCCCGGGATCGATCGGTCGGTCATTTGTCACAAATTGGCCGTCGATCCCGCAGCTAAGCCGGTCGTGCAAAAGACACGACACCTCTCCTCCGATCGCCGCGAGTTTGTAAGAGAAGAAGTCAAAAAGATGGCGGCGATCGAGCACCTCCGTCCGGTGGTCTATCCTGAGTGGGTGGCAAATATTGTTCTTGTACCTAAGCCCCCAGCATGGAGGATGTGCATCGACTTTACGGACCTCAACAAAGCCTGTCCGCTCGACCCGTATCCTTTACCGAGCATTCATCAGATGGTCGACGAGACGGCTGGGGCCGAGTTAATGAGCTTCATGGATGCCTTTAAGGGATACCATCAGATCATGATGCACCATGAAGACGAGAGCAAGACAGCCTTCGTAACCCCGGATGGGCTGTATTGTTACCGAGTGATGCCGTTCGGCCTCCGAAACGCAGGAGCGACCTACCAAAGGATGGTCAACATGCTCTTTGCTGATTTGCTGGGCCGAACGATGGAAGCTTACATCGACGATATGTTGGTCAAGAGTCGGGACCGATCCGACCACACTCGGGACCTTCGGGAGTGCTTCCAGATCATGAGGAAGTACCAGTTGCGGCTGAACCTGACCAAGTGTACATTCGCGGTTCAGACCGGCAAGTTCCTCGGATATATGATGACCAAGAGAGGAATCGAGCCTAACCCGGCCAAAGTAAAAGCGATTCTGGACATGCAGCCACCTTCCACCGTTCGGGAAGTCCAGCAATTGACCGGTCGGTTGGCAGCCCTCAGCCGGTTCCTCTCCAAGCTAGCCGAGCGCGCTTTACCTTTCTTCAAGGTATTGCGAAAGGTTAATGGATTCGTCTGGGACGAAGAATGCCGGGCGGCTTTTGACGAGCTGAAGGAGTATCTCATGTCACCGATCGTGCTCTCAAAGCCCGAGCTCGGAGAAGAGCTAGACGTGTACCTCGCCGTCTCCGATCGTGCAGTAAGCGCAGTTCTGTGCCGGACCGACCTGGAAGGGGTCCAGCGACCGGTGTACTACGTAAGCCACGCGCTACATGGTCCCGAGCTCCGGTACTCCCGACTCGAGAAGGTCGTCTACGCCCTTTACATTGCCGCGAAGAAGTTGGCTCCCTACTTCCAAGGTCGAGCAATTCGCGTGTTGACCGACCAGCCGATCGGGCCAGTCCTCCGAACTGCTTCATCATCAGGTCGCCTAGTCAAATGGGCGTTAATGTTGACCCAGTACGCGATCGAATACCGACCAAGACCGGCTAT